TCCAGCTTTCACATACATATGAGGCAATTGAAAATACCATGGCTTGGGTCAGGTGCACCTTAGTCTTCAAAGTGTCACTTTTGCTTCTTAACACTTTAAAGAGGTCTTTTGCAGCAGATTTTCCCAGTGCAATATGACATCTGATTTCCTGATTGTTGCTTCCATGAGTGTTGACTGTGAATCCAAGTGAAAGGAAACCCTGACAACTGCAATCTGTCCTCCATTTATCATGATGTTGCTTTATTGGTCCAATTGTGAGGATTTCTGTTTTCTTTATGTTGAGGTGTAATCCATACTAAAGACTGTAGTCTTTGCACTGAGACTATGGCCCCTAGCTGCCTTTCAGGTCTGGAACTGAACCCACAACTGTGGTTTCCAGCCAAACAAAGTACAGGCATGTGAGTTAAACATTTACCTCAAGTAGACACATGCCCTGGAGAGAACAATCATGGGAGAAGGAAGGGCTGCTTATGCACAGGGAGATAGCTCAGGGTGCAGAAGAGTATGAAGGGATGGACACTGGGAGGAGGTAACTATGGGGAGGAAGTGGGAGGGGAGCTGCTGCATTGTAAATTTTGGTCAATGACATGAGACAAAGTATATGTGAACTGCTGTATGAAAAGTGAATTTACTCTGTAAATCTTCACCCAAATCCTAAAAAAAAAAAAAAAAAAAAAAGACTGTAGTCTTTGATCTTCATCAGTAAGTGCTTCAAGTCATCTTCACTTTCAGCAAACAAGGTTGTGTCATCTGCATCTCACAGGTAGTTAATGGTTCTTTCCTCCAATCCTGATGCTGCATTCTTCTTCATATAGTCCAGCTTTCCTTATATATATTGACTACTAATTATGTGGTAGGTACCATGGCATATAAAAACGTGGTTAGGCATGATTAGTATTAGGAATTTAGGGGACGTGAATCTTAGTATTCATTTTATCTCCCCTCCAGGATTTGGAAAAACGGACAATACATCCAAAATCACTAGCCAATAAAAAAGTGGGGTACTCATTTAATTAATCTGTGTAAACACCCTTCATCCCCATACAGGGCTCTCTAGTAAACTAAATTAGAGAAAATTCCAGATTTCTAGATCTTAGGACCTGAATGCTCAAGTGTGTCTGCCAAGGTGTATGCACTGGTATATGCCTGTATGCACTGGTCCTGCACACAGGCCTCCCTCACAAACTCAATTTAAGGTGACTAGAGACGGGATGGTGGAGAAGGTGAAAGGTGAACCTGGGGAAGGGATAGGGTGATGGGGGTGGGTTCTGCCCAGGTGTTCTTGTGTATGGGAACAAAATATACCAGAGAGCAAGAGGACATGCTGGGTAAGGGCAGTGACCATTACACAGTGATCCTGCTCCCTAGTGAATATGTCAGGCTCTCATCCATCACCTACGAGGATGAGTGAATCAGGGGAAAAGAGAGGTGGGCAAACATTTTCCAGATAGAAATCTTTCTCCTTTAGAAGAAAAAGGAAGCCAATGAAGGGTGATATTTGGATATGTATAGAAAGATTACCTGAGATTGAAAGGCTCCATCTGTGAACACAAAAATAAAACAGAAGGACACCACTGCTCCAGAGGAGAAATGCATTAGAGCAGTAAATGCCCATACTGACCACCAGATGGTAATATAGACCAAACGTAGCTTGGTTGTTGGTCCAAGCAATCTGGGTCCAGGAGGGAGTTGAAAGTTGTGTATCAAAATCCAGAGTGTCCATACTGTTCTCTTAAACCTGCTTAAAGCATAGGTAGTAGATGCATCTTTTAGAACAGGGAAGAGAGGAAGTCAAGGATGTTCCCCCAATCCTTTTTTGCCCCAACCTCCGTCAGTGTTACCTTTCCTGCCCAAATCCTCAAGCAGTTCTCTATTGGCATCTAGTTCATTCATTTAATAAATATTTATCAAATACTTAAGTGCTGGCTTTACACCAGGCACTGAGGATATAAAAACAAATGCACAAGTGGTCAAGCCATTTTCTCCAGTAACTACACAGGCACATACAAACAGCCCTCCTCTATCAGGTTATTACAGTAACAAACAACCCTCAAATCTCAGTAATTTAATACAACAAAAATTTACTTTTTGCTCATGTTACATGTCCAGCACAGGTCAACCGAGGGTCTGCTCCACAGAGTCACCTAAACTTATGGCAGTTCCATCATCTTTTAGCTGCATAGTCAGTAGTTGCACCAGTGTAAAGAAAGTGAGTGGAGAATGAGATTGGCTTTTCATTACCTCAGCCTGGAAATCACACACACTACTTACATTTCATTGGTCAGAACTAATCCTATGACCCCACCTAACTGTCCCTGGAATATTTATTGAACAGTAACATTGGGCAGATATATTGCATTGGGCAAATGTGCTGGAAAAGACCTCTTTAAAGTGTTCAAAAGCAAAGAGGTCACTTTGAGGACTAAGGTGTACCTGATCCAAGCCATGGTATTTTCAATTGCCTCATAGGCATGCAAAAGCTGGACAATGAATAAGGAAGACTGATGAGTTGATGCCTTTGAATGATGGTGTGAAGAACATTGAATATACCACAGTCTGCCAGCAGGACAAACAAATCTGTCACGGAAGAAGTACAGCTAGAATGCTCCTTAGAAGCTGGGATGGCGAGACTTTGTCTCATGTACTTCGGACGACATGTTATCAGGAGGGACCAGACCTAGGAAAAGGACATCATCATGCTTTGTAAATGATCAGCACAAAAGAGGAAGTCCCTAATAAGATGGATTGACACAGTGGCTCAGTGGGCTCAAACTTAGTGGTGATTGTGAGGATGATGCTGGACTGGGCAGTGTTTCATTCTGTTGTCTGCAGGGTTGCTGAGTGAGAAGCAACTCAACAGCACTTAATAACACCACTATCTCTGCTATAGTTTCTTTACTTTGCTCTTGCTATACCAAAAGTGAAATTGTGATTACCTGTTTGTGATTCTGTAATTCTTTCTGGATTCTACTCTTCAGGAGTAGAGACCTCCTCTTGCCTTTTATGTAGCTTTGGTGCCTAACACAGGGGCAGGTACACTGGTACTCAGTGTTTGTGGAGTAACTGAGTGTTTGTGGAGTGAATGAACAAAGGCAGAAAGTAAAGGTAACCTAAAGGAAGGTGGAGGTAGTACCTGGAAGTATCAGCTTAGGAGGAGTTACCCTCCCTGAACAAAACAAAAAATTAAACAGGGATGGCCAAGAAAACAATCCTATCGGTTTTAAAAGCCAAACCCAACCTATTGAACTGAACTCATTACTGGGGCATGAGGCTTCCAGTTACAAGCAAACAGACTACATATGTGGAAAGAAAGGGAAAAAAGGACCCAAGGGGCACCAAATGGCTTTGGAAAAAGCCTCTGATCCCAGAGCAATTTCTGTACCTAGTTAGGGTATGACTGCTCTCTCACAGTAAGTTTTTGGAGCTAAGAAGGTCTTAGGTGCTATATCCTGGGCCATGGAGTCAAGCTTATGCAATTGTTTTTCCTTTGTTGAAAACTGAAAGGAATTAACCCTGTAGAATTGGTGCTTGTTTAGAAAGTTGTCAGTTTTATGGGCCTCAGTTTGCAAAATAAAGGCACTATGAGTTATAGGTGGGGTGACTATCCACTCAGGTTTGTACCTGTGGTCCTAGTTAATTTATCAATAGCATCCCTTACCATTCACTCTCAACTGTTTCTGTTTGGATGATGAACTGCAAGGTCATTTAAGTTACAAGCAACACATAACTGGCTGAAAAAAAGTGACCTGGGGGGTCCTAAAAAGGGATAGAGGAACAAATATTTCTAAGTTGACTGTACACACCCAGCTTCTTCTGCTGGGTTGGACATCTAAAGAAGACTATTTTAGGACTAAGAGGTGGGGCGTTTTATTCAGTCTTACCACTTCCTGAAGAACAGGGTCTAGGGAAAAGGAAAAGGGGTTGGGGGTAGGAGTGAGCGTGGACTCTTCTTCCAGCCCTTTGCTGCCTTCCAGACCTTAGAAAATCATTTAAGGAATCTGAGTATCAGTTTCCTTATCTGTGAAATGGGGATAATGTTTACCTCCATAGGTTGTTACTCTTATTTAACAGTGACCACTATTATTCTGTTCTATGAACACAGAAACAGGTTATGAGAGAGCCTACTGTGCTGATCAAGGCTTGTAATTGTAACAGCCACTAAGTACGAGCCAGGCACTTGAATCAATCAAGTGTTGAAATACTCATGTATCTGATTTAGAGATGAGAAAATGGATATTTGGAGAGAGAACTTGCACAAAGTCACACAACTCAAATGGCTGGGGTAAGACTGACCTCAGGAAGACTGATTCAAAACCTGTGCTCTACCTACACATATAAAGTACATTTAGTTAAATAGAAGAAGTGGCAATTATCTCGTTCCTCTTTCAGATTCTAAATCAAGTGCTCTTTTCGTTACCTGGCACAGCCCCACAGAAACCCGCGGTGGAAGAGGATCAAACACAACAAAGGACAGGGGGAGAGCTGGGAAAATCAGATGTCCCGCAAAGAGAAATTACTGAACCCCAGCAGATCACCAAGGGATGGTGTCGGGTGTGCTCCTCCCTTCACCCCAAGAAACAGGTCACCTTTTAGACGTGTTCTTTTTACGGGGAGGAAAGCATGGAGCCCCCTCGTCAGGCTAAGCGCTTACGTAAGGCCAACTGACGGCTGCGCCCCGATCTCCCATGGGTGTGCGCAGAGCCCCTAGCCCGGGGCAGGCATCCCTCCTCTCCACTACCCCCGCCTCTCCTCCAAGGACCGCCGGGGAGGCCGGGACCACCGGCCCAACGCCGACAGAGTCCGGGCCAGCGGTGTCCGCGTTGGGCGGCGGCATCCTCCCGCAGCCACCCAGCTTCCCGGGGGAGGAGCAGCGCATCGCGCAAGCATCCGGGAGCGGCGGAGGGGGCGGGAGGAAGGGCGAGAGGAGGAAGCGGGATTTAAACGAAAGGCGGTGACGCCACACAAAAGATTTCTATAGGCTCCAGGGAGGTTACGGCTGAGGCGGCGGCGGCGAGCCCGGGGGCGAGGCGCGGACGCAAAGAGGAAAAGCTTCCAGCAGCACCGGCGGGCGGGCGGCGGCGCACCCACTGCCGCGCTCCGAGGTGAAACCGCTCCGGGAGAGGAAGCGGGTGTTTTCCCCTCTTCGTTTTGGCCCCCGCCCTTCCTTTCAGTTTCTCTCCGCTTGCTCGGAAGTTGGTGGTTGACAAAAATGGTAGGAGCCGGGGCGCGGGCGGGTTGCCGCAGCGCCGCGGGGACCTTCTGAGTTGGCTTGGCCGCAGGGGAGACGCGTGCAGGGGCGTCTGATGAGTGGGGCTCTGGCCCTCGGGAGAGCACAGCCACCACTGACCCAAGACGAGGAGGCGACCGGGATGGACTCGTGCCTACAGCAGGCGGCGGGCCGCAGGGCGCGCGGTCCGGGAGGGCGTGCCGCCTGGGCTCCGGGCCGCACTTTGTAAACTGCGAGGCGGGAAGGGACCGCCGCGGTGCCCGGCACACCCGGGTGTGGCGAACAGGCTAGCGAGCGAGCGAGCCTGCTGCTGTGCGCAATCAGTGCAAGCTCCCGCCCGACTCTGACTCGGCGCGGCAGCGCCAGCGCGGGCCACACCCTCAGTCCTGCAGCCGCCGCCGGCGCCGCTTCCCAAGAGCGGGAGGCAGGAGATGCGCCCGGAGCGGCAGCGCGTCCCAAAGCTCCAACCCGGGCCACTGTCGCGGAAAAGTGCCTCTTTGCGGGGTCACGGCGCCTGAAGCCCACGTGCACCGCGGAGCCGAGGCGGCCTCGCGCGCGGCGGCTGACAGTAAAAGCCGCCTGGGCCGCCGCCCGCGCTCCTCCCGAGGAAAGGATTTTGATTTCAAAGAAAGGAAGGAAGGAAAGACAACTCCCAGCTTCCCCGTCCCGCCCTCTCGGCAGCCAGGCCGGGCCATGCCCAGGAAGGAGGTGGCGGCCCAGAAGAGGGGACTTTCCTGGCAACACGGCGGCGAGGAGCGCGGACTGTGAGTTTGCCCTGCCCTGGTTCATGCTTCCTGCAAGTCCTCCAGGAGGCCGGACACCACAGCCCCGCCTCGCGTCCCGAAGAGCCTCTTGCGTTTCCTGGCCCTCTGTCCGGCCCCGCACCGCCCAGGCTCTGGCCGCCGCAGCTCAGTGCCCTCCGCCCGGGGCGGTGGATGGCATGATGGTTCGGGGAAGGCACCACAGCCTTGGCCTTCTCAGTCGCGACAGCCGCGGGGGCGGTGGTAGTGGCAGTGGCGGCGGTAGCGGGCTCCCCAGCGGCATGCCAGTGCCCCCCGGGCGCGATGGCTAGCGGCAGCGCTGGGAAGCCCACCGGCGAGGCGGCTTCTCCGGCTCCTGTGAGCACCGTCGGCGGGGCCAGCTCGCACCCAAGGAAGAGGCTGGTGTCTGTCTGCGACCACTGCAAAGGCAAAATGCAGCTGGTAGCAGACTTACTGCTGCTGTCAAGCGAGGCGCGTCCTGTGCTGTTCGAGGGCCTCACCTCCTCCTGTGCTGGCGCCGAGTCCTTCGAGCAGTGCCGGGACACCATCATCGCGCGCACCAAGGGGCTCTCCATTCTTACCCACGATGTGCAAAGCCAACTCAACATGGGCCGCTTTGGAGAGGCAGGGGACAGCTTGGTGGAGCTGGGCGACCTGGTGGTGTCGCTAACCGAATGCTCCGCCCATGCAGCCTACCTGGCAGCCGTGGCCACGCCGGGTGCGCAACCCGCGCAGCCGGGCCTGGTGGACCGCTATAGAGTGACGCGCTGCCGCCATGAAGTGGAGCAGGGCTGTGCGTTGCTTCGAGCCACGCCGCTGGCCGACATGACGCCGCAGCTGCTGCTGGAGGTGTCGCAGGGCCTGTCACGCAACCTCAAGTTCCTGACGGACGCGTGTGCCCTGGCCAGCGACAAGTCTCGGGACCGCTTTTCACGCGAGCAGTTCAAGCTGGGCGTCAAGTGCATGAGCACGAGCGCATCAGCGCTGCTGGCTTGTGTGCGGGAGGTGAAGGCGGCACCCAGCGAGCTGGCACGCAGCCGCTGCGCTCTCTTCAGTGGGCCACTGGTGCAGGCTGTGAGCGCCCTGGTGGGCTTTGCCACCGAGCCGCAGTTCCTGGGTCGCGCGGCCGCTGTGAGCGCTGAGGGCAAGGCGGTGCAGACCGCTATCTTGGGCGGTGCCATGAGCGTGGTGTCAGCCTGCGTGCTCCTGACCCAGTGCCTCAGGGATCTGGCGCAGTACCCCGATGGGGGCGCCAAGATGTCGGACCACAGGGAGAGGCTGAGGAATTCGGCCTGCGCCGTGTCTGAAGGCTGCACCCTGCTATCTCAGGCTTTAAGGGAGAGGTCTTCGCCCAGGACTTTACCGCCAGTGAATTCCAATTCTGTGAATTAGTTCCCCCCCATACTCCTTCTTCCGTCCTAGACTAAAGGAAGATACTTTACTTTCTGCCCCTCTCCATTTATACCAAAGAATCATAGGTGAAGCCCCTTCCCACCCCATCCCCTGTGTTCATACTCAAGAGGAATCTTCCAAGAGGCAGGGCCTTGCACAAAACTTACACACTCAGAGGGCCCAGACGCCCACCAGCCCATACACAAGTAGGGACTGGGACATAAATGTGTAGTTATTCACCCCAACCCCAGCCCATCTTCCGGAATTTCACAACCAAATTTCATTAATTGGGCAGGAAGGAGGTCATGGGTCCATTTCTTTCTTTTTTTTTTTTAATTAAAAAAAATGGTTACCTCAGTTTTCACTCGTTAGACTTGGATGTAGCTACCTTTTTTGTATGTATTTTTTTTTTTTAAGCAATCGTGTTGGATTAGGAGTATAATTGGTGTGGAAAGAGTATGACTTTGTCATGTGATTTGCAAATGGGGGGAAAGCTACTGTGAGTGTGTGGTTTTTTTTTTTTTTTTAATTTACACTATAAAGAGTGATTTTTTTCCCCCAATGTCAAGTTTTTACCTTGCATGTACTGGAGTATTTATTTCATCTATTAAAATGTTATGTTTCTCAGATGGCTTTTTGCAATTATTGTTGATTTCAATAATTGTGATTTTGCATGCTGCATGTCATCTATGGAAGAAAACTTGAGTCTCCTTCAGTAGCAGTGAGGTGCTGTGTTCATGTAAACCAGGTCCCAGCTTCCCACCCCTTTAAACTTTTTCCTCAAGATTTACTCCTTTGAACTTGTCTGGAACTGGAGAGGACTGTGTGTTTAACATTCTCTGTATAAAGGCAGGTGACATACATGTGACTGGATCATGTATAGTGCTGAGGACCTGGGCTGGTAGTCGGGCTTTGCGGTCTTTCTAGTTTCTTGCGGAAACTAATTTAGCTCCCTTTGTTTCCACTCATTTTCCTGTCATAACAAACAGTGGTTCAGGCTGACCAAAGTCTGATTAGTGTTGTGCCTTTTTCAGATTAAGGCTCTTTCTAACCCTGTGTGGCATGCCAGATTAGATGATCTATGTGTGAAACTGCAGAAGTACTGTAGTACATGAAGTAATACTGTTTAGTGTCTTTTATATAGACAGATCTATTCATGCAAGATCCAAGTACTCATGATTGTAGAAAAAAGGTATAGAGTATTCTAGACTGTTTAACAGAAGGAGAGTTATTCTGGAAAATATATTAAGAACTTTCTAGAACAGCAGTTTAATTGCAGGCAGAGGGTGTATTTTTGTGAACTTGATGGAAGATATGCCTTGGTTGATTGCATGTTGGAAGAATGCTTTGTTAATTGGAATTTGGACTTATTATAATGCAGTTTGTCCATTCCACAGACGTTTTAAGAAATTTTGAGGGTGTATGGTTTTGCTGAAGTTGAAGTTTTGAACACTTTCCCACTGAAAGACAAATTTATTTGGAGTGATATTACAATGCTTGTGCTGGAAGAGCCACATACATGCTTTAAATTTGTTTAGTTTACACATTTCTTGGGATTTGTTGTGCCTAAAATTTTGCAGTTCCCACAAATCTGATGATTTAAAAAACAATTATTGTAGTATATGAGAAATCAAAAATCTGTATTCATTGCTTACTTAATTGAATGGCTATTTCTGTTATGAGAACATCAAAATCAACATGCAAAATGTTTTTCAACCCATGTTAGGTAAGACTGGGACAGTTTAGCTGCTTGAATTCAAAAATTTGAAGAATTTTGCAGAAATAGTGTACATACATTTTCTTAAAAATGGTTAGAGGGAACAGTTGTATATCTGTCTTAAGTCCTTAAGCCTTTAAAAAATGAGAATGACCTTGAGAATGTTACTCTTCTCTTTCTATCCCTCTTTAAAGGATGGATCAGGTTCAGGAATTACTTTGGGGATGAGATGGTGGGGAGGGAAGCTCGACCTTTGTGCCAGTAACACTTCTGAATGTATATAGGAACTTTTACTTACGTATTGAATTTACACAGGTAATGATAGAATTTGTAATTATATAGTTCATTTAGCCTGTGCAGATCATAAGTAGTAAACTGTAAGGAACTGCCCTGCCCCATAGGGTTTCCATAGCTATAAATTGTTAAGGAAGCGGACTGCCACATCTTTTACTCACAGAGTATCTGGTGGAATCCAATGCTGATCTTTTGGTTAGCAGCCGAGCACTTTAATCATTGTGCCACCAGGACTCCTCTGCAAGGAACTAACACAAAGTAAAATAAGAGCCAGAAATTTGTGAATTTGGTGTTTGATTAAGAAGAAAAGAATTGCCAATTTTTCCTTGCACTTACTTGTTCCTTGCAGAAATAATTTTCAAGGATAATTTGAGCCCCTCCAAAAAAAATTTCTCTTTCCCTGTCTGCTTAGGTGAAGTTAACTAGCTAGTCACCAAATTAATTTTAAAGCCTCTTTTTCTCTTAGCCAAATATTTCTCAAATATTGCACTCATATTTTTGTATATGATAGATTTTGAGTTATAATATTAAAAATCTCTAACCTTTTAAGTTGTTAAAAAGTTTCAGACTTTTAAGAAATTTGAAGTTAACTTCTTTTTTTTCTTCTGTCTCTAAGATAAAAAAAAAGTTTAGGATTTCTCTTCCAGCAGGTGGCTTGAAATGAATTCTGCTTGTCTTTTCTCAGATAATTAAAGAAAACCAGAGTGAGGAACTCACAGTAGTTCTGTGTCTATGTTGCTTGGCTAGGCAAGGGTTTTGGATACAGGTCTTTGATGTTTAACTTTCTTCAGTTGTAACAGGACCACTGGTGGTATAGTGGTTAAAAGCTCAGCCATTAACCAAAAGGTCAGCAATTCAAACCCACCAGCTACTTTGTGGGAGAGAAGACCTGGGAATCTGCTCCCATGAAGATTTCAGCCTAGGAAACCCTGTGGAGGAGTTCTTTTCTGCCCTGTGCAGTCACTATGAATTGGAATAGACTTGATGGTACAGAAAAATAACATATGTACCAAGTTGCTAAACCTGTTTCTTCAACAACCCTTGGCTTTTAAAAAGGAGAATCTCAAACCTATTTCATTGGATTTAATAAGGTCAGCAGAGACAGTGATTCCAGGAATAAAATCAGGGTGGCCTGATTTTTTTTTTTTAACTTTTAATTAAGTCACGCTAGAGTTAATTTAAGACATCAGTCCTTGGGCGCTTCTGACTTCTGAGGGCAAGTTTTCTAACACAGGCTTAATGTGTACCATCCCAACCAGGGCATGTTAAGTACCTCCTTCCTTTGAATGATTAAGGGAGAAGGAAATCATTATGACTAAGCCGTTATTTATGACAGTCAACCCAAGTAACTGGGACCAAACAAGCTTTCACGCAAAACTTAGGAGAAAAAACACAACTCCGTTGTTCCTTGGCTCTTTGAAGCTTGCCTTTTCTCTATTCTAGGTTGATGTCAGAAATACTAGAAATGGAAAAAATAATTACATACATATATATGTATACCGAAAATAAAATACACGTATATATGTATATATATATTTGTGTGTGTGTGTGTGTGTATATATATATATATATATATATCTGCAATCACTACACTCATCTCCACCTTAGTCTTTTTCTAATTTAGAGTCATGTTTTTCAAAAATTACCTGAAGTGTTTTATAATTCTGGAAGCATCTGTTCCATCTGATTGGTTATTTTACAGGCTTATTTTTTTCATAAATTGGCATAGATCTAAAATATTTGGCAGTTTGAAACAGCTAATTTTAACAGAAGCACCTGTTTCTCAGAATGAATGTGACTATGGTAACTTGCGGATCGGCCCGAAGATTTGAAAAATGGCTACCAAAGTCCCTTCTAAGCAGGACCCAGTGAACGGGAGAGGAAAACATAAAGCCTTAGGGGCTCTTTAACTTGTGGCAAGTTTCCAACAACTGGAAGAACCCGTAAGGAGGCCATCTCCACATTACCTATGTGGACATAAATAATTGTGTTCCCTCTAGGCCAAGTCTTGTTTTGATTTAAAAAAAAAAAAAAAGGTTTTGGAGGAATATTATGAAATGAGTTGGCCCCCTTTTACCTACATGGGGTTTTTCTTCAGGGTAGTTTGGATAGGTGAGTTGTTTGCTTCCATTTCTCTGCAAGTATATATAACTGTCTAGATATTTTTAAAGTGTGCTACTAGTGTCTATAATAGGGATTGATTTAACTGTAAACCCCATAAGATCAGAGGCTATAGAGCCTGGCATTTATGAAACTTTTTTGAAATGAATGTGTGTATATGATGCTTGCAGCAAGTGTTCATAAGCAAGTCGTAAACTTGTTCCTGGAAATGACAAGTTATAATAGTCATTCATTCAACAGATACTTATTAGGGGCTGTGTGCCAGGAGACCTTGAGTGGCACAGTAGTTAAGGGCTTGACTACCAGAGGTTCAGCCGCGCACCAGGGTGCTTCTAAAGACAGGCCTGACAGATCTGCTTCCAAAAGGTCATAGCCTTGAAACCCCTAGGAAGCACTACCCTGCACACATAGGGTTGCCATGAGTTAGAATTGACTAGATGGCAACTACCAACTGTGCTGGAGTCCCTGTGTGGTGCATACTGTTATGCACTTGGCTACTAACATTGAGGTTGGACGTTCAAGTCTACCTAGAGTTGCCTTGGAAGAAAGGCCTGACAATCTACTTCTGAAAAATCAGCCATTGAAAACCCAATGGCACACACTTATGCTCTGACACGCATAGGATCACCATGAGTAGAAATTGACTCCATGGCACCTGGTTTTTAACTGCCAGGGACTGCGCTAGGCCCTGGGACACAGCTGTGAGTGGACATGTTCTTCCCCTCACCAAGCTTAGTACTGTCTAAACTCAGTGCTCCTTGAAGTGTGGGCCATGAATGGGCAGCATCAGCATCATCTGAGAGCTAGTTAGAAATCAGATTTCTGGGCCTGATCTTAGGCCTATCTGATCAGAAACTCTGGGGATGGAGCAATCTGTTTTTATCAAACCCTCTCAGATGATTGTGAGGCATGCTTAAATTGGAGAACCACTGGGCTACAAGTTCTGCAGGTTTCTTTTTATTTCCTTGTAATTCTTAAGAGGCAACAGCATTTGCAAATTCTTTGTTTGCCCAGGTATGATCCCCCTCATTGCCCCTTGGCTGTTATAGTGAGACCTTGAGGCAAATAAAAAAAAAAAAAAAACCCTCTGCTTAGGAGTTGAATCCAATTCATAGCAACCGTATAGACAGAGTACAACTGCCTGCCCTAGGTTGTAAACTTTACCAGAGCAGGAAGCAGGTTGTCACATGTTTTCTCTGGTGCAGCTGATGATGGGTTTGAACCACTGATCTTTAGGTTTGCAGCCAAGCGCTTAGCCACTGTCATCAGGCTCCTCCCTTTAGGTAAAGAGGATAATGTAATCTCTTCTGCCAATTTGGAATCTTTGAGAATCCAGGTTTTTATTTATATGTGTGTGTGTGTTAATAAATAATAAGTTTTCCCAATCTCTTTTACCATCCTTTGAAATGAACTGTAAACTGGCAAATTAACTTTCTGTGCTTTGCCTGTTGTTGACTTTTGTCTGGGAAAATCCAAAACAGCAGTCAACCTAATTAA